TCAAGAGCCTAAACAATGTCATTTTTATTAAATTGGTGTCACAACAGAAGTTTAACAAAGACATTAAGGAAAGATAGTGAAGGACCTTCCTGGACGTTTATGCGGTTTTCTAACAAAGAATGAAAGAAATGAGAAAAAGTACAAGAGTAATTATTTTGAAACAAGAGTGATTTAAAAATTAATATATGGCCAAAGGAAGCTGGCATCTTTGATCTATCAGAAAGAGAGGTTTTCTCCATAGTGAATGTAAAGGGAGAACAGGTTAAGCCATGAAAGCCTTTCTTAAGTATATTCAGTAGTGAAAATTCTTTGCTCAGTACTTTCTGTGAACTGATTGTGGTCTGATTGTATAGCTTGTTTCTGTGAAAATGTATTTTGGAGCTTTCTCTCTGGTTATGACTAAATTCATTGCATTCACTTCTTTACCAGTTAACTTTGACTCTTAGAATCAGTTCTTACTCATGAAAGATTTAGATTTTTTTTTAACTTGTTTACAATAAATATTTTCTGACAGTGATTTATTTGACATTCCCTTACCAATACACTCATTTTCTAGATTTGTATAATGAGAGTCACTGCTGTATCTAGAGGAAAGTGACTATGTCAATGTTCCTGTGAAAGTCATCCAGCTGTAATGTCAATAATTAAATTTCTATTGCCAGCATGATGAAAATAGAAGATGTTGAAGCCTTTTTAATTCTTAACCAGAAGTCACACACAGAACCAGGAAGTCTACCAGGCACGGCAGGTTTACAAAGTAGACCGTGAGTAGTAAGGCACAAATAAGACAGGGTGATTCTGGCAGGACAGTATATTTGCCAGGCCTGAAAGCAATTGGGATCCAAAAATGGGGTAATATCTGAAACAGGATTCTATTTGGAGGAAAGCTCTGTGAAGTAGGTAAACGGTGATACAAAGACCTTGTGCTAACAGTTTTATTTCAACAAAGTTTGATGTTGCTTGGTGAAGTGCTTGACTCTGCTCCCATGAAAGATCTCCTAGTTGGAGAGGCTCCATAAGGGGTGCTTGCAGAGAAGCTGCACTGAGGCTCAGGACTTGTAGGACATAGGCTTTGCAGTGCTGCCAGGGACATCTTAAAACATGGAGGCCTTCGCAACCTGAGGGCTGTTCTGTGGGTGTGCAACAAAACAGAATGTGCTGACCTGCTGTGCATGTGAGCTCAGCATCTGGGGCTCTCTGCAGTCACAAAATAACCATGATTATTAGTTGTCTGACTAGAGCAGGAATAGAAGCTATCAACTGTCAAGACTGCATGTATGTGTGAAGATAAAATAGAGCAGCAAAGGCAGGAGGTACAAATTAAGTAAGAGCTAATGCTGCAGCAAGAGATAGCATTGATAAATGTGGTCAAAACCAAAAGATTTGTTTATGGGAGCAGTTGAGAGGCTGCTGCCTTTCTTCCTGTGACTCTGCAACATGCTGGGGAGTTTCACGAGAAGGCTTGCGTGACCCCTAAGAAAGAGTGAACATAGCACTTCTGCATGGAGGAGGGCTGCTGCACTGTAGCCGCACAGTGCAGAGGGAGCTGGCAGCAAGAGCTCTGACAGAGAAAGAGCTGTGCGAAGAGGGAGCCTCTGCTCCAGGCCTTCTCAGCTATGCAAAAGAGCATTTGTGCACACGTGTGCACATAAGATGCTGGACTGGTTCACACTTGTCGTGCTTACAAAGTATGGACAAATGTTCTGCAACTTACTGCAGAGCTTCTGGCTAAGGCCTTGGCGATGCAGATCACTTGGGCACAGAAGCAGTGGCCTTCCTGCCTACACGAAAGAGCAGGAGAAGCAGCTGTGCCACTTGGCTGCCCTGGGCGCCAGGTCAGAAGACACGCGTGCCACGGCATCCACAGCCTGCCCCATTCCTGGCCTCAGGGCCCGAGGGCAGCTCTTACTGCGGAGCAAAGCAGAGGACAAACTTGCCAAAGTGCAGGGCTGGCGCAGACGTGATCATTCATGTAAAGGAGGTTTGTGAAGGATCATAAGCACTGCAGGCAGCACATGCTACACTTCTGTGCAGTTGTTACATTGCATATAAACTGGCAAGGATCTACTGTGAAGAGCTGCCCTGTTATGCAATGAAACCTGTTCTGTAGACACTGAGCAACATAATGGGCTTTCAGTTTATGCGGGGAAAAAATCAAAAAAGAGATTAAGCTCTCTGATTTTAGAGTGGCAGGATGGGATTATGGCTATTTTAAGTGACTTTTCAGGGGATCGTGACTGAATTGACTGGCTGTTTCCCTTGGTAAGACACTGGAAGCTCTTTTATAGTTCCTTTATTTTTTTTTCTCTGCCACTGATACTCAGTGCTTTAAATACACTGCACGGTGTGGTGGATCGAGGGCTGGCTGGATGGCAGAGCTCAGAGGGTGGTGATAAATAGGGCCGAGTCCAGTTGGAGGCCTGTGGCCAGTGGTGTCCCCCAGGGGTCAGTGCTGGGCCCAGTGCTGTTCAACTTGTTCATCAATGACCTGGACGAGGGCACAGAATGCACCCTGAGCAAGTTTGCAGATGAC